CTCTTTTCGGACAAGAAAAGGCATGAGCCGACAAGGGGACCTCGGCTGTTTGGTGAGTACTTGCTACAGAGTGGTCGATCACATACTATCTCAAGTACCGACGCTAGTGGAGTCTGCTTACATATTCCGCGTCATTTGCTGGGCCCGGGGACCACATGCACTTAATTTTCACATGGACCGAGATTGTTGAGAATGTATCTTAAAATTGTGGATATTGACGAATGCATTGAGATGGAATAAGATATATTGTTGGAGTATATATATATATATGTAATATGCAAAAAAAAAGGTAACGCCCATAAAATATGCAAAAGAAAGTAAAATATATACAGTGAGATCGATAGTCTCTAATTACAGTTTCTAATTACCCGCAAATCCACTTCCATGCCTTGCCATACCATGTAGTTGGCTCAATAGTCTCCCATGTCTCGTTATCAGCAGTGGTACGGCCGGTATCAAGGTCGGCTTCAATGGGCTTGACGAAGGCGGGGCGGTAGACGATCTTGTGTCCCGCATATAACACCACGAACAAAATCAAGCTCAGGTAGTTGATGAAGAACTCCTTGACTTGGAAGTGCGGGATGAAGGCAGTGAAGCCCTGGGTGAAGATAATCAGACAGTTGAAAAACAGACCATACCACGAGAACCAGGGCTGCCAGAGAGCCTTGTAGGGCAGGATATCCCGAGAGATGTTGCGAGCCTTAAGCGCGCGCTGGAAGGCAAGGTGACAGGCGTTCAGTGAACACCAGGTGATGAAACCAGCCACACCTGAGATCTGAAGCAACCAAGTGAATACCGTGCTGCCTGAATCCGAGACGTTCAAGAATCCGAGTAGACCGAAGGCCGCAGTGAAAAGTACGCTGTAGTAAGGGACACCACGCTTGCTGGTAATCTTGAACCAATGAGGGGCGAAACCTTCCTGGGCTAGACCCACCAGGATACGGCTCCCGCTGTAGACGTTGGAGTTGGCTGCCGAAAGCACCACGGTCAGAAGAACGGCGTTGATGATACCGGGGAGAGCCGTGACGCCGGCACGGTTGGCAGCAATGACGAACGGCGAGGCGTTGGCGTTTGATGCAGAAGCACCACTTCCCTCGCTAGCCAACAGACCGCCATCGTTGGAGGGAACGACAATTCCGAGGAAGAAGATTGTCAGGATGAAGAAGAAGACGATACGGAAGAACGTTTTGCGAATTGCAGATGGGACGGTCTTGCGAGGGTTCTCGGTTTCACCGGCCGCAATACCAACCAGTTCGGTTCCCTGGTAGGAGAATCCGGCCTGAATAAGCGTGGACCAGAATCCAACAAACTTGGCCAACGAATCGTTGCCTTCAATCAAGTAAGGGACGAACGGACCGGGGTGTACCCAGTATCGGAAACCGATATACCCTTCTTTACCGACGCCGGCATTCATACAGATCGAGAAAATCATGAAGCCGACCACGGTAATAACCTTGATACTCGCGAACCAAAACTCGATTTCACCATAGAAGGCCACGGGCATCATGTTGAAAAGGATAATCACGACCCAGAAGACGGCAATAAAGATAGCGATCGGAATGCTGCTATCCCAGAACTGGATGATCAAACCGGTTGCGGTCAACTCTAGCGCAAATGTTGATGCCCACGAGAACCAATAGATCCAACCCATAGCAAAGCCCAGACTAGGGTCAATCAGGCGGGCAGCGTATGAGGTGAATGCACCGGGAATCGGGATGTATGTTGCGATTTCTCCAAGAGCAGTCATAACCGAGTACACAATCGTTCCGACGAAGATATAAGCGATGAGAGCGCCCACCGGGCCTCCGTGAGCAATAGCGGTGCCGCTACCAATGAATAAACCGGTACCTATTGTGCCGCCTTCGAAGACTGTTAGCCTGAATATTCTGATATTCTGATTGTCATGGGACAATATCATCCTACTCACCAATAGCAATCATCTGCAGATGTCTGCTCTTCAGCTTCCGCTTGAGATCTGGTAGCGGGTTCGCCTCACGCTGGGCACCATGTTTCTCGTAGTCGATATCATAGTCTATGCTCTGTGGTTGGACTTGCACAGGCATTTCAGCGCTCATCTTTCCCTCTGACTTGTCTGGCGCCATGTCTGCTGGGGGGACAAGACAAATTGGGGAGCTTCGAGATGGGATCAAGAGGAGAAAGAAAGGATCTGAGAGATTGTAACCAGTATCCACTCAATTAAGCCAACGGGTCCGAAGACAGGCCTTTCCTCTGTGGAGTAACACGGCACTACGTCGGCAACAACTTGAGGGGAAATATATATGTTAGGTAAAAGAAAAGAGGAATTTGAGGGGAAATAGATGGGGTACATTTCTATTATCTATTATTCTTTTCTATTATCCTATCTTCCGTCTTCTCGGATCAGGATCTACTTTTTTTTTTCATTTTTCATTTTTTTTTTTTTTTCAATACCACCCGGTGTGGGCCAATTTTGCCGGGAAGAGTTTTCTTTGGTGGCGACTCTCTTTTGCCCCCCCTTAGATAACCATTTTTGTATATATTTGATATTTGATATATTTGATATCCGATATTCTTTCTCTTAATCTAGAACATATGATTTATTATATCGTCTATTATATAATGATGCTTATTGTAATAGATAAGACAAAAACACACATCTATAGGTGGTTTATACATGAGATTATATGTAGGTATAGTGTATCTTGAACATGATATATCCCCTCTCTAGTACTCTTTTCGAGACTTTCGAGACTTTCGAGACTTTATACATGGCTGAAATTAAGAATCAAGTAATTAATTATGTTGCAGCCACAAGACTTGGTAGCGGGCTGGGCGGAGCCGGGATGCCGTTTGCGGAGATAAACTTAGAGCCAGTCATAAGAATGACAACAAATATTCAATCTATGTTGTAGATCGAATATCTCTGATTTAAGAGTACGCAAATCACCACATTGTAGATCTCTTCTCGTTTTGTTTTGGGGGGTTTCTTCTCGCATTCGAGGTTAGTTTCTCGGACATTCCATCCGCATGAACAGCCTTAGCATTTGGGCAACAGGTATTGCAATCTCATGAAATTTTTATTTTTGATTAATGGGAGAGTAATAGTTGGATTGTCGAGTGTTAGCCTTGAAAATTCAGACTGGAAACCCATTTGTATCCACCTACTCGGGGGCCGCCCGGGAGGCAACCGTGCCTAATAGTGGAGAGCAGACTGAGACCAGGGGCCATTTCCATTGGATTCGTTCTTATCTTTGTTGCCTGTTACTAGGTCCTGATTAGTTGCCTAGTTGGACACAGTAATTTCATTTTTGGTTGCTTCTTTTGCTACTCTATAAAAACCAAATTAGGCTCATATCTTAGATCTAAGGACATGAGCATTAAAATGAGACTACGGAGTAAGTGAGTCCAAACCCACAGGAAGGGAACAGGTATAGGCCCAGACAATTCCTTATTCAATTATGAAACAGGGGTGAAGAACAATGTTCTGCCAGTAATGATAGTCAATACGATCAAAAGCCATGGTGGTACACTTCGTCGCCCGTCTTGCCTGTCCCGAGACCAGGTTAGGTACCGAAGCCGTAGATGGTAAAGAAATAAAAGAATCTCTATACAACGTGACGCGGTATTGCGGTAAAAACGGCAATCCTCTATATCACAGTATCGACGACAGATGAGGTATTCCAGCAGAAACGGACATAAGGCAAGACCGATTATGTACCTAGGTAGTATAGAATGAGTGGCCTGTCATGTATAGTAGAGATGTAAGGGGTTCGTACATAACAATATATTTAGGAACAAAGAACCCAATCCTGTTCAAAAAGCGCTCCAGCAATGCCATTTCTTTGGGCGGAGGGCCATCCTTGGCCTGTGTTTGTTGATCCGATCCTTGAGAGTGATCGGGGGCGTTTTCTATGTCCATTGTGAATCCTACAAGACTTTGTAGACTAGGCGATGCTTGGGATGCTGGAATCGAGAGTGGGATCAAGTGTTGGAAAACAGGATGGAGCCTAGGGTTACCCCCTACGCCAATCTCCAAGATTTCCAGCGAAATATCTCCAGTTTCTGATTTTTGTCGGACGTATGGACTAGATTCGGTATATCGGGGTTTGAATTAATCCGGCTAAATGTTACCAATTGAGTTATTAGCTTCACAGTGTCTATCACCACTTTGCACTGCCTCTGGTCTTGGAGGGCTCAAGTTCAAGCTTAAATAAAGCTCCTACCTATCCATAACCACCCCATGCTTTCAAATTCCCTATTGAGTAGGCAAACGAGCTTCTTCAGAGATACCCAAACGGCTACTTGGCCTACCTACCTGATAGAAGCTTAGAGGAAGGTGATTACAGTGATAGGAGAAGTGAATTGTTAGACAGAAAGAGAGAGAAAAGGGGGAGGAACCCTGGAGCAAGTACCTAGCATGGTCCTATTACCTTACGGTACAGCTTCAACACTATAGGTCTTTACTAGCAAAGCTACAATATATAAAATTTAATCCTGTGAAGTCCAACTTATTGTTTACTCTCTTTCAGGATAGGCCTTTAAAGCTCAATATGCCAATAGCAAACATCACCACGTCATGTGCCAGTTGAAAAGCAAGCTAGGTGCAGATGCTGTGCTCTCTTCTGGAATCATGCAGCCTAGATAGAGAGGCATAATACCATGCATTGGAGGTGTTCCAGGTAAAGAAATAAACATAATACAGTCTTGTGCCTATTACCGGAGATATAGCTCTTCTTACAGACCCCATGACGTATCTGTGCAGCTAATACAGAAACATATGGCCTGAACAAGAGAGACAATGTTAAAGGTCATGAATCATTGAAAAACTTGAAAGTAGATTGCATGGATGCTAAAGGAATGCTACAGAAACTGGCTAAATAGAATAGTGCAAAATATAAATCATAACAATCGTGGCTGATTCCCACCCCTTTTTACACACGAGATCGTCAAAAACAGATTGTGAATAAGATAAAATAAAACAAGTCTGCATTTGGTGTTTCATGCATAAGGATAGGATTGTGTCAGACTGGACTGTGCAGTACGACTCGCTTTTGGTTTAAAGGTCCAAACAAGCTCTTGAGCCCCATCCAGGGGGTGTTGACCGGACTATCCATCCCAGTATATAGGAATAGATCGTAGAACCATCCGCCGAAGGTGCAACCTAATATTGGTGCAACCATAGGAACCTAAGAAAGTTTTTGTCAGCCAAGGAAGTCCAGAAGGTCCGATGTATGTAGTGCCCGGATAGAACGTACCCAGAAGTAATAGTCCCCCGCAGCCCATACTTCATGCCCATATCCAATCATGTAGGACGTTAGTCGAGGTCCAAAGTCCCGTGCCAGGTTGATAGCATATCCAGTCTCCCATCCAAAGCATGCGCCAATGCCAAAGACAACGAAGAATAGCGCAAGAGGCATCAGCGGCCCGGCTCCTAGATTGCCGTCATCTTTCAGAGCGAATATCATGAACATCAAGACCACGCTGGCAAGGAACTCGGAGAAGAATTGCCCTGTCTTTGTCATGAATTCTGCTGGGTAGGTGCAGAAGATGCCGCCTGTCGCTGTTGTCGAGTAGCCGGGGACTGTGCGGATATTTGGTCCGCCCTCGTAGATGTTGATGGCTGACTTATAGTTGCCGTACACAATGGCAGAACCGCACATTGCGCCGAGGATTTGGGCTAGTGCGTATACGGGGAATTTGCGCCAGGGGAACCCGCGGAGCATGCAGCTCGCAAATGTCACGGCGGGATTGATGTGGCCTCCTGATGCCCCGCTGGCGTATACTCCAAGCATGACACCGAGTCTGGTGAATGGGGTTGGTTAGAAGAGAGATTATTGATTGATGATATAAAGAGAAGAGGAGCCTTACCCCCATCCCCAAGAGATAGATTGGTAGTCACCCTTCTGGCCATGACTTAGTAGTACCTGAGCAACGACCCCATCCCCAAATAAAATCAGGATCATGGTCCCAAAAAACTCCGAGAATGCATCACGGCAGTACTCCCTCGCTTTGAACCAGAGAAGCGGGCGAGTGTAAGGACTTTCGACTTCCGGGTTTATATGATGGATAGCCATTTCATTCTTATTAGTCAGACACAGCGAGCCAGAGCCACTGTCATGACCGCTGGAGGATAGAGTTTCACGATGAACCTTTGACATTGGATCAAGCTCAAGCTCCTTCCAGGTAGCCATCGAAGGGGGATCCCAAGCTCTGGGGCCCAGGGTTGGGACTTCGAGTTGATATAGTACGGTCAACCGGGGGGAATCTCGCCAACCACACGAAAATGATATGGTAATCCCTCCGGTATATCAACGGCGCCGAAGCAGGGATGACCGTGTAACCAACCCCTTTGCATTCAATCTGTGCTGTCCTTCACACAAGAGGGTGGCTCGATTGGCTGATGCAGGGTCTTGTCCTGAAAGTGAGTATGTGTGCCTGTGGGTTTTGCCCCTGATTTCAAGATCCAGAACACCAGAAAGCGTGTAAGCTTGCAGGGAAGATATAAGCTGAAAGACAAATCTGGATAGACTCGGAATCATCAATTGCACATGTCCCTTTTATTGAAGTGGGTTGACCGGCCATTGTCCTTTTTGTCACCGCATTTTTTGTTCCTCCACACAGAGCAGAATTTTCTGACAGCGCATCTCTGCTTATAGTTTATTTCAGGGGTCGTTTGTAGGAACGGTCGTTTGGCCTGGGCAGCCGGATGCCACTGTCCGATCCCGGTTGGGTTGTTTCCTCTCCTTTGGGTACTTCTTGGACACCGCAATGTTGTGTATAGTTCCCGCGTACGGTTAGTTTCCATGACTGTCATGAATATAGAAGATTGTATGTCTTCTGTTACTCATCGTCAACTTGTCAGGTGCGAGACCTCATGCAGGCTCAACTGTAATTTTCTAGAAAGTCCAAACTGTGTCACCTTGAGGTGGTAAGCTTCTCCAAAGGGACGCGAGAGTAGCTGGAAGAAATTGGTCTTCCCCCATGATGATGCTAAGGGTAGTATTTTGTCGCTCTTAGGTTCTTGTCGGTAGTGGCACAATTGAGCGCTGTCCGTATGACCATATTCTTGGAGGTAACATCACCGAGACCGGAGTTGTCCAGATTTGACTCTGCGAATGTGGTAAAAGTGATGCCTTGTCCTCCAGCAGCTTAACACCACAGTGTTCATTATGCAAAAAGAGGCTAATATAGGCATGCAGATAAAATTTCAGTCCTGGCTAGTCTAGAAGTTGTAATTTGGGCCTTTTATCGGTAGATGTCCGGTTAGTCTGCTGGTGCTGCTTATATGACAATGGAATAAGACCGAGTCAATGCGCAATTCCCCACCGATTTGGATCTGACATTTCGTCAAACTAACCGAGTCGTCAATTGTCTGCTGATCCCTCCCCACAATATGCAGGAAGGTCACGCTGACTGGGTTTGAGGGGACGAGAGAGCCGTTTGTCGAGGATATCTTTTCCTAAATGAGTCCAAAATGCACTGACACTTGGATAATTCCACAATTGAGCCCCAAGAACTGTTCCAAGAACTTTTCCAAGAATGAGTCTACACGAAGAGCCAATACACGTTGTCGCACAGCCCGTTCCCACTCTCTCATCTCACATCTGACCAGGAGTAATCCCACCAATCCCTTCTCTCGGTATCTCCCCCTCATTCTTCAAATAAGCACCCCGCTGTGTGATCGTGAAGCTGTTATGTGCGGAAGGCTTTTATTTATGTGTTTGGGGCCGCTTGCTGCATCTCGAGTTTTTCTGCGCTTCGTTGTATCGCAAGGTTGACGCCTCGTATCATGTACAAATAGACGACTCGTTTGCTTTTCTCCCTCGTAAATTTCTCCATAACACCCCATAACCATGCAGCCCTCAAATACCTTTGTGGGATCAATCGATCAAGGCACAACGAGCACCAGATTTCTAATCTTCAACCGCGAAGGCGAGCCAGTAGCATCACATCAAGTCGAGTTCAGCCAAATCTACCCGAACCCGGGGTAAGTTCCAGTCCAGTCCAATAGCGAGACCAAAAGCCCAACTTGGATGCAAAATTAACCACTTCCAGCTGGCACGAACATGACCCCCTCGAGATTGTAGCCTCAGTAGAGACCTGTATCGAAGAAGCCGTCCAGAAGTTCGAAACGCAAGGCCACACCAGGAGCAGCATCCAAAGCATCGGAATAACCAATCAGCGCGAAACAACCATAGTTTGGGACTACGAGACCGGCGAGCCCCTGTACAATGCTATTGTATGGACAGACACACGGTCTCAGGAGATCGTCGCAGAACTGAAACAGAAACCAGGGGCAGCGCAGCTCCAGACACTCTGCGGTCTGCCGCTGTCAACCTACTCGTCAGCTACAAAGCTGCTCTGGATGTTGGCGCATGTCCCAAGAGTGAAGGATGTATTTGACCGCGGCACACTGGCGTTTGGTACCGTCGATGCTTGGCTGGTATACCGTTTGAACGGTGGAGTGGCTGCCAACGTCTTTGTCTCGGATTCAACAAACGCTTCGCGGACCATGTTTGTGAACTTGGAGACGTTGCACTATGACGAGGCACTCCTGGACTTTTTTGAGATCAGGGGTAAGGTTCATTTGCCTAGGATTGTGCCCTCGTCTGATGCGACGGCGTACGGGGTTGTTGCCTCTGGGGCTTTGGCGCAGGTTCCGATTATGGGATGTCTGGGGGATCAGTCCGCGGCATTGGTTGGACAGAAAGGGTTCTCACCTGGAATGGCCAAGAACACTTATGGCACTGGATGCTTTCTTTTGTACAATGTTGGCAACAAGCCAGTGTTCTCGACACATGGATTGCTGGCTACGGTGGCTTACCACTTTGGTGGGACGCCTGTCTATGCACTCGAGGGGAGCATTGCTGTCGCTGGGTCTGGGATCAAATTCTTGCAGAATAACTTGGATTTCTTTCAGGAGTCGAAGGGTGTCGATGACCTTGCCTACTCGGTGGAAAATAATGGCGGATGTGTGTTTGTCACTGCCTTCAGTGGACTTTTTGCGCCGTATTGGATCGATGATGCAAAAGGGACAATCTGTGAGTTTCTTATTACCTACCTGACTCTTAGATTTTATCTGACGGTGTATACAGTTGGGATCACCCAGTACACCCAAAAGGGCCATATCGCTCGCGCTACTCTAGAAGCAACTTGCTTTCAGACTAGAGCAATTCTAGATGCAATGGAGAAAGACAGTGGCCATACACTATCCGAACTGGCTGTAGATGGGGGTATGAGTAATTCGGATTTGGCAATGCAGGCAAGAAATCACTTTCTTATAATCCATAAGAGCTTAAACAAGTATTAATCTAAATCTCAAATCCAGACCCAAGCAGATCTGATATCAATCCCTGTCTACCGCCCCAAGATGCGCGAGACTACAGCTCTCGGTGCAGCAATTGCAGCTGGCCTTGCCGCTGGACTTTGGCACAACTTTGCAGAGCTACGCGATATCAATCGCTCTGGTGGTGCCGTCTTCGAGCCCCAGGTCCCGCGGCAAGAGAGCGCTGAAAAATTCGGACAATGGGAGAAGGCTGTGCAAATGAGCAGAGGCTGGGTGGGATCTCAGAGCGCCAAGCAGGAAGACGCTGATAGTCTGAAAAACGAAACATATGCGCCGGTGAAGGATCATGATCTCCCTCCGCCTAAGGTAACACAGATCTTGCATAATTCCGTGATCTCAGATGTGGCTAAGAGCTCTACATACACCAGAGCTGTTAAAGAAAGGAATCATATTTCGGTCAAGGAGATCGAAGTTCCATCTCTACCTGTACAGACGGCATTGGGGAGTGTGTTGGGTGATTTGGATGATGCAGAGGAAGAGGATTTGTTCTTGGAGCTGCGGAAAGTGGAGATTTTGCAAAGACTCAGGAAGCTACGGAAGCGACAGTCAGATTGTTATTAATTGTATTATTGGATTAAATGGTCTACAGGATATGTGCCCCCTTAAAAAAAGCTTTTAGATGTATACACTGTCAGCAAAGACTCAAATTGAACGAGATTCCTCGATAGTCCTTAATGCTCGCTGAATTTCGAAGGGGGTGACGGCTGGAAGCGGCCCGGTGCCGAACTTGTTTGCGATGTCCCGAGAGACGTGTCAAGAGATTGGAGCAATGTCTGCCTTCTGGGCAGTCTCGGAGATGCTTAGAGGGCTTTAATTGAGTTGAAAAGCCAGCAGAATGGCATCGCTGTTACGGGTACTAGTAATAGGTAGCTGCCTTTGCTGGATTTATAACAACCTGTTCCTGCACGCAATCTTCTGCATAGTTGTATCAGAGCTTGCAATCAGAAGTGGATTTTCATAAAGGGCTGATAGGGAGTATCTATGGGGAATACTATTCCTCTTAAATCTTGCTATCAATTACTAAAAATGCAAGAACAATACAAGTTCCACCTTGTTCCAAAAACTAAAAGCAGGGCATAAATTCATATCATAAAAAGATATCATACTGTAGTCCGAAGAATCAACCACTCAAGCAACACTCGCCTTAGCCGCACCGTGCGCAACCTGTTCATCCCCCTTCAGGAAAACGCAATTCAACTCGGAGCCAGGACTGAGGGTAACTTCAAATTGAAGCACCGGATCTTCAACCTTATCTTTCCCACCAACAGGCAGCGCAACAATGCGCTCATAAGCCTGCAGAATCCGAATAACAGTGTACCCCATCTCAATGATGGCAAATTGCTGCCCAATACAAATCCGCGGTCCACCATTAAAGGGAATGAAATGCCACGGCTTGGGCTGCCAGCCGGAAACCCACCGTTCAGGAATCCACTTACTAGGGTCGAAGTAGTTCTTTGATCCTGGGCCGTCGTACAGATCAGGATCCCGCTGCATCAACATGGTGGAGTAGATAATCCGCGAGTTTGCGCGAACACCCACAGGCGATAGTCCGTCCGGTCCACCGCCACGTGGAAGCGTTGTATCGTGCAGAGAGTAGCGCACGTTGAATGGCACCACTGGGTATAAACGCATTGTTTCGTGCAGCACTGCATTGAGGTACTTCATTTCCTTGAGATCGATGTAGCTAGGTTTCTGAGCCTTGGCACCGACGCCAAGTCTGTCGTTGATCTCGTTGCGCAGCTTAGCAACAACTTCTGGATTGCGCGAGAGCTCGAAGAGACAGAAGGATAGCGTGGCGGCTGTTGTGTCGCGGCCTGCGAGAAGAACGGCGACGAGTTGGTCACGGAGAACACGAGGGTCACGGGTAAAGCTGGCTAGTGCGTCGAGGAAGGTTTGGTGCTTTGAGAGCTTCTCGTTGAGTTCATCGGCTGAGTGGGCGAGGACGGTTTGGATGTATGGCTGGATGAACTCATCCATTATCTTGAGGTTTTTGCGGAATTCGGTGCGTGACAATAGGGAGCCAAAGACTCTGTTTTAGGATCGAATGTTAGATTAGCTTCTGCGAGGCTCCAATGACAGGATGTGCTTGTGTCGCACAGGATCGAGTATCACTCACCCGAAACGGAAGTACTCCGCTTGGCGCTGTTGCACATATCTGAACGCTTCGGCGAACCGTGTTGCCGGGTTATCTAGACTGTCTGTGCCCTTGCCGAGTAGGTAGTCTGTTGCTGCATCAAGGGTATATCGGAAGAAGAGTGATCCGAGGTCCACTACCTTGCTGCTGCTGGGTGAGGAACTGCCGCCGAGAAGCGGGATGAGTTTCTGAACATGCTTCTCAAAGATTTCTGTGTCGACGATGCGGTCACGCACGAACATGGGACGAATGAGCTGGCGGGAGCGAGACCATAGTTCTCCATCTGTGGTAAAGATACTGTCGCCAAGAAACTCTTTCCAGTCCCGGTGGAAGGATTCACCCTTACCGTAGTCGGCGAACTGGCTGGTGAGGAGCGCCTTGATATTTTCCGGGTCCTTGGTCATGATCATACGGGTAGAAATGCCGGCATCGAGTTCGGCTGTCTTCGCATTTGTTAGGCCGCCAGCTCCCTCGATTTTTGCATCCCAGAATTCTATGTCGCAGTTCACTTGATTGGCCTGGTAACCTTGGAAAATGAAGTCGAGAGCGTACGGGAGACGGAACTCGATTTTGGGAGCTCTGACACCGAGACGGGCGATTTGTGCCGAAGCTTGGAACTTGCGGAATACGCAGAATGCAACGAATAGCCCTAGAAGCCATAGTGAGGCCCGACTAAGTGTCATCCGTGCGAGGAGGTCTTCGATCATGGTGCCGTTGGACTGGGCAAAAACAAAGCTGAGTTTAGTCTTGCTTCTGGTTCTGAGGGGGCACATTCATAATAAGAGCCGGATATTATGCATGATAAATGGCATGGAAGCCTACCTATGTAGTTTCCAAGATTAGGAGGACCAAGTTGTCATGCAGTGTGGACCATATGGGTTTCAGCGGTTATCAATACCGGAGGCACAACCACCCCAATTTTCCGGAGAATACCTATGAACTTCTAGGGTCCAATGATATGTGTTCCCATATCCCAAAAAGGTGTAGAAGGATGGCCAAAAGGAACCGTGCATGCGAACCCCGCATGGCATGATTTCATGCTTTTTTCATTAATCTTTTTTTAGCGAAGGGTTTCTTTGATAGTGCAATATTGGGTTGGGCCAGGGGCAGATCCCAACCAAGGTCCAGTTATGGTCTCGGTTTCACACTATAAAATTACTGTGGAGACACTGACAATCCGGGGAAGATGTAGCATGTATGGTGATATTATGAAACCTCGGTAGACAAGGCATCATAGCATGATTCCGAGAGGAGAGATCGGCAGCGCCTTGTAGACTCACCCGCAGCCACATAAAACGTCCCCGCACTGCGTAATTGCACATGTTCTCTCCGTAAAATAGGGGGATCCAATCAAATGGTGTTTGAGTCTCTGTATTTCTGTATCGGCTCTCCTTAACTATGGAGACTTAATTACATAATATAAATTACAAACATGTAACGTATTTCACTACCGAGCTGGCCACCCCAAAACACCATAGTAAATTCGATAAATTACAACTTGAATATCCCAACAACGGTAGTCTATAGGGACTTTTACTTCTAGGTTGATACTATTTAGGTAATATATAGCGTCTTTATAGAGTTTCAAGAGTTTCTATAACTTATTGATTGAAATATATATATTTCTAGCTTTTGGCAACGTAATTGTCAGTAATTTTTGAAATAATGATAATATAGCATCCTACTTTCTTTGAAATTGATATAAAGTACTAATAAGCCTTATCAATAGCTATCAATAAACAAGGAAATAAAATAAATATATGGTTGTTGAGATACAAGTGTAGAATATATCGCATTTACTATGGTGTTTTGGGGTGGCCAGCTCGGTAGTGAAATACGGTTAACTAAAATGACAAAACCCGCTTTTTCAACAATCTCTACGGACCGTGATAACTAATTGTAATATGGACTTTTGTATGGTATGCCTGGTACCCAATGTCATATGATGTTTCCGGTATATTACCTGGTTTCTACCATGTATTCGGACTTGGTATACCCCTAAATACACGCCACTAAGGTGTTCTAATTACTTCATTATTAGACATACTGGATCTAGCTGCGCTACACACTACACTAGCTAGATCTAATAAAAATTATATCATTTTAGTTGATTTGGATGGCTTCAAATGTTCAAACGCGTCGAAATCAGACGAGGGGTGATCGGCTCGCAGGGGGGTGGTTGGTCAGCTCGGTGGTGGATTACATTAACTAAGACCGGGAATCCAAAAGACCCCAGGATATGTCATCGCTGCTCTGGAACTCCATGACATGTGGGACCGAAGCAAGATGACCTCGGCCATCCCAGACAGTAACTTGTCCTCTTCGCCACGAGACCACAGCCAAAGCGAAAGGGACTCGTCCAACCGCAAGAAGCGCAAAGCCCCCCGTCTCGCCCACCGTAAGTCTAGGACCGGATGTCAGCGATGTCGCGCCCGACGAGTAAAGGTACGGTGGATCCATTGCTACAAAATCTGTCCTGACTGATGTAGTGTGATGAATCGCGACCTGTGTGTCGCGACTGCCATCGTCATGGGATCCCCTGTGTTTATGACAGGCCCGCTGAGGAGGGAGCGATCCCCCCCTCAATCGGGATCCAATCTCGCCCACTCGAGCCCAGTCCATCGGATCCCGGTAATGACGCACATATGGAGCTGCGCTTGCTGCATCACTTTACTCTATTCACCAGCGCTACTATGCCCGGGGCCCACCTGAAGCGTATCAAAGACTGTTGGTCTATCGGCGTGCCCCGACTCGCATTCAGTTACAAACCGCTCCTGCACGCCGTCTTCGCAATCTCTGCCCTGCATCTGTCCAAAGCCAATCCAGACGAAGCTGGCTTGCCGGACATCCACTGCAATTTCCTCGAGCAGGCTTTGCGCGAACATCGACTCTGTATCGGCGGCATAACTACGCAGACCGCGGATGCGGTGTGCTTTACGAGCATCCTGTTACAGATCGATGTATTTGCTACCTTACAAAATCGTCATGTGGTTTCTTACGAACAGGTAAGTGAATGGATGCGTCTAGTGCGCGGGTCGGTAGCCGTCTTTGACGCGGCCCTGGAGATTGCGAGACATAATACTCATCCCCAGAATATCTGGTGTATTATTGATACCTTTCCTATGCCCTTGCGGACGAATTCTGATGCTGGATCATTTTCCTTCCTGCTTCCGACTGTGCCCGACGACGAGGATGACGAGACGGCGCTAGAAGCATATCGAGGGGCCGTCGCGCATATCAACGCCACCTGGCTGCCCATGGAAGCAAAGGAACATCCGCAAATCAGCTGTCGCCGGCTCATGGTCTTCCCTTTGTTCGTGGCAGCTGAGTTTATTGACTTACTCGAGAAGAGGAGACCTCGCGCTTTGGTGGTTCTAGCCTACTTTCTAGCTTTGTCGGCACCATTACGCGACATATGGTGGATTGGAGACGCTGCACACAAATACATCATGACTCTTCAACCAATCCTTCCTGCCCATTGGGAACGTCTAATGTCCTGGCCAGTGGAAATGACTATATCTCGTGGCACACATCAAACACAACTCGCTATCCAACCACCTCTGTGATTCCCGCCCGAAGCAGCGCCTTCTCGATCACAGGCATCCTAAGCGGTGTCTGCTCAAACATCTCGCTGGCCTCTCGCAAGTACGCTGCAAACATCCCTGGTCTGATATCCGCGTCGTGGTTCTCCGGATTGTCCCATATATCAGCTAAGTACTCTCGGCCTGCAGTGACAAGGCCATGCGACAGCTTCATTGTCGATGACATGCTCAGCACACCTTGGACAAGTGCGTCAGCCTCCTTCACTCGCGCATTGTCCAAACCGTCCTCACCGCGTTGCAGGTCCAACAACTCATACTGCTTCCTCCCATTCCAGTCCGTCAATCTCTGCGCCCAGTACGCTTCTGTCACACAATCAAAGAGCAAAACCTTCTCTTCGAAGAACTTTGGTCCGTCCCATCCCGTTTTGGAATCATAACACGTGGTACCGGATATCGATGATACGGCCGCGGCCGTTCTCGCCTTTTTGACGCATGACCCGGCCACCGCGCGATCGAGACTCGTGCGCGATGCGGTGCTGTGGATTGTAGGCATGCAGAATGCTGATGGCGGCTGGGCAGCGTTCGACCATGAAAATAAACGGCTGTTTCTGAACAAGATCCCGTTTAGCGATATGGAAAGTCTTTGTGACCCGGGCACGCCGGATGTGACGGGGCGGACGATTGAGTGTTTGGGTATGCTGCGCGATTTGCTGATGCGTCCGGCCGAGAATGCCGAAAAGGGGGAGAAATATGGATATCCCGATAGAGAGGGGGATGCGGCAGCCGACGCACACCTCCAAATCATCAACACCGCCTGCGCCCGCGCAATCCCCTACCTCATCCGCACCCAGGAAGCAACAGGCGCCTGGTACGGCCGGTGGGCGGTCAACTATGTCTATGGTACATGTCTCGTTCTGTGCGGACTGCAGTATTTCAAGCACGACCCGAAGTTCGCGCCAGAAATCCAAGCCATGGCGGCTCGTGCAGTTAAGTGGCTAAAGCAAGTCCAAAACTCCGACGGCGGATGGGGTGAGTCCCTCCTCTCGTACCGCGAGCCCTGGCGGGCCGGGTGTGGGCCTTCCACGCCCTCGCAGACAGCATGGGCGCTTATGGGTATTTTGACAGTCTGTGGGGGCGAGGATCGGTCTGTGTAGCGTGGGGTGAGGCATTTGGTGGAGACGCAAAATGATATCTTGAGTCAGGGACAGAGCGCGAATTCACGAGTACGGGGTTTCCCAACCATTTCTACATCTCGTATACGCTGTATCGAGTTTATTTTCCTATTACCGCGTTGGGGAGGTATCTTTCTTTGGTCGAAGGTGGCCAGGAGAAGGAGAAAGGTGGTGGCGTTTAATCTGCTGGTCTTGTTTGGTTCAAGCTTTTTCTGGATTGCCTGTTTGGATTTAGTTTGTGAACTCTTGCATGAGGCGTCGCAGAGGATTGGCTCTGATTGACAAGGATTCTCGGTCTCGTTTAGTAGGGTCTCGGCCTGCGGCTTGGGCCTCTTGGCCGGCGTCTTAACTATATGCCCTAGAACAGGTTGCCTAAAATGGATTATTATATCTACCTTTTACTCTACCCCAATCCATGCGTATCTCTCCTAAACCTGCACTGCACCAACATCGCCCATCTCCTACACTGAATGAGTGAAGATGACATCCGGACTCCTCATCGCGCAACTCGCCCTCTACGCCCCCCTAACACTTCCAACTCTCTACCTCTTCTTCCGCCATGGCTACCACGGCCTCCTCGCCTGGCTCTACCTCCTCGCCTTCTGCGTTCTTCGCGTAACCGGTGCCGCCATGGGCCTCAACGATCCGCATAACGTAGGCGCCCAGATAATATCCAGTATCGGGCTCTCGCCGCTGCTGCTCTCGATAGACGGAGTGTTGCATGAGGCGTATGTTACCCAAAAGCTGACCCAACGCACCGAGCCCTGTTTCCTGTCCATTCATCCAGGAGCAAGAGCCAGTGTAATATCTTATATGTGTCTCATTGTGATTTAGGAGAATCTACTGTTTATCCCCGAGTAAACGAACCGAATGGACGTTCATGGCGCTCATACATGTCCTCGTTGCGACGGGGGTGGCAATGGTTGGGGTTGGTGCTGGCGGGTTGTTGGGCGATACGCCTAAGCCCAGTGATTTATCCAATATCAAGGTCGGTATGGTGCTGTTGGAGGTTGCGTGGGGTGTGCTCGCTTTGTGGGGGCTGTGGACTCTTTGGAATGGGACGGGTGGGGGGAGGAAAAGTACTGGAAACCGAGATGTACCGGCGGGCTTGGCCGCGAGGGAGGGGTGGTTGGTACGCTCATCCCCTTCCTTTTGCTAGATAGATCGTTGATATGATTGTCTGGTCTGGAGACGGAGGAATGGTATATGCTAACATAAAGATGCCTCGAGACACAGCTCCTAACCGGCACCCTCCTCGCCCTTGCCCTCGTCGAGATTTCAGTGGTATATATGCTTATCGCGGAATTCACACAGCGCGCGGATCTAAACCCGATGACAGGGAGTTTGGCTGTTCGCGTTGTGTTGGGGTTTTTCCCCGAGTTGCTCGCGGCGATTGTTTTGGTGTTCGCTGGGTTTGTGACCAGGAGAGCGGGTGAAGTTGGTGCTGGTGAGGCTGGGCTGGGGTATGGGCAAGGGCGCCGACACAGACATGCTCATGGCCATAGAAGGCGCTCGAGCTCGAGAAATGGGACTCGGTCGCATTCGAGGTCATATTAGCCTTCGCATTCGCACTCTGCTGGGCGAAGTAGGCGAGGATTCGTATCGAAATGGGAGGTTATCTCTTTTTATATGGTGCGCTATATGCTGCAAGGCGCCAGGCGTTATACAACCAAGTCTATCACAGTTCCAGCGCTTAATATGTGTATTGTGCTTTTATGGTCTCAGCCGGAGCCCGCGACCTATCTACTCCCTGTTTGGTATAAGTATATGTCCGAGGCACATTTGGTGCTCGCGGGAACTTGCACGGAGAAAGTTTCAATAGATACCTCACAATACTTCTATGGTCGCTTTCACCTTTATGGGGACGTCTGGGCTTCACGCATTTTAATCCACTATCTCGCGGGCCGCCTCTTGGTGAATGAGTTGATATTGCACTTGCGTCCCAATCTGATACGTCAATCGAGCAAATACTGCTGACGGCCCATGCCAGCCGTACGATCATCCAGATGGCCGTCAAAATTTGCGTAGCCCCCGCGAGCCAGCCTCTATTTCCGGATTATATGAGCCTCGACGGAAGAGATTATACGAGCTTCAACAGAAACGGCGCAATGCCTCCACTCAGTGGCGTCTTCATGTTTATGTACCCTCTTGCAGTGGCTGCAACTGCGACTGGAGTATCTGACGACCTCCGTGAATGGATGTTGCGTACTCTCGATCATATTGGTCAGACCATGGGTACCCGTCAGGCTTTGTTGATGAAAGCGGAGGTAGCACAGTCCTCTCAGCGCGGGCCCCAAAGTCAAATATACTGTCATCCGACGGAGACTTCATCGAGCCTTCGAAATCCATGTCTGCAAAATGGCGACGCATGCTTAAGCTGAATGACACACGTCATACCAGTACTGAGAGTACACTCCTCTATCTATATCGAAAATCCATCTAAAACGGCTGTACTTCTCACGTAAAAAGAAGAGCGAACCCACACAGGACAGAAGACATTAGGAGTGAATACTAACTGTTGTTGATAAACGCTTTAGTGCCCGCACTAACACCCTCCACGTCATCCGCGACTCTTGTTTTCCTGCCTCTTCGAGAAGCTCCCACCGGAGCGACACGTTAGCATCCCCGTCAGGTGGCGTTACTCTTATTAGGTTTAATGGTCCAGTAACCTGCGAGTAATCCAGCCAGAGTTTATCCCCTGGACCAGGAACACCATATATAGCGTCAAAATTCTCTGAGTACCGAATCATCCCAGCAAAGACGCCCAATATGTCTCCTTCTTGCACCGGAATAATAGGACAAACGGACAGGAAGCTCTTATCTTTGGGCAGAAGCGTTATAAAGATGGATTTGTTTCCGTCCCCCCCCCCCCCTGCTGTTTGGACGCCAAAAAACCCCTAAGTTCGTCAGGGGACGCCTTGTGTGGTCCGGAAGATTGGAAAGCGGCCTCTTTCGCACTGGAGAACCACGTGTTCCCGCTGTTATTCTAAGATATCTCGTGAATATCGAGACCTGCCGCTACGTACGACTGACTCAGCCATAATTTTACTCCGTAGTCTCTTTCATTCTCTTTATTCACTCGAATTTCAAGTTGTTTGATGTGTGGGCTGTATATGTTATCCCACTGTTGAATCGTCTCCACCAGAGAGGGCTCGGTGTGTTTCGGATATTCGTGACAGAAGCTATCAAATTCCTTCTATCGACGCCAGCATTTCACATCTCGAACATGTTCCTCCAAAGTCTGCGGCACCGCTGCTGATTTGCGTAACTTGTGCCATATCCAGCCTCTTCCATGAATGTTCTAGTTGCGTGCTTCTTGGCCCTCGCGAAATCATCAAGGCGGCCCATAGAAGTCGGCAGCTTCGCAGGATCGAGAAGCTTGACACCCTTGAAGATGATGTCCCAGTATGCTGTTTCGTTGTACCGAGCCTGCATAGCCTTGCTCGCAAAAAGAGCGTTGTCCTTCTTCACGGCATACATGGCGTCTGCGTATTTCAACTGGGTGATCTTGTCAACATAGCTCCGGATATCCTCGATCTTCGTTGTTATAGTAACAATCTTTCTTTGACGCCCGTATTTTGTCAGCGCATAATTTAACTTTACACAGTTCGTCAATATCGCTTCGATCGTTCTCATGGCTGACGCGCACAAAGTTGGCATAGAAGACAGCCTTGAAGGGAGCAGAGTAATGCAGCCGGCGCCATTAACGTCAAAGGTCGACCCAGAGCATATGTGAGTAGCTGCCAAACTAGGGCAATCAGGTTCTTTCTGATGATCCGGGCGAGGCACGTCTTCCGTTGCAGATGAAGGCGAATCCAATGCAGAGTGCCTCTCCGCTTCCACCTCTGGCAGAGCGGAGCTATTGCTCGTTGGATATGCCTCGCCGTGAGCTGCGGGAGCAGTGCTGCCGACCTTCGGCTCTCCAGAAACCAGTGACTTATCGGTTGCCACCCCAGCGCAATTGTTAGCTTGTTCGGTTTGTCCGGCTGACGCGGCGTCACTATCCTTTTGGGAGGACCTCTAGTTCGGTATTTTGGTAGCATTTGAGCCTTTCTTACCCCTTTTCCTTTTCTTTCTAGCACGGCCATCCAACCCCGCGTAACCCACTCTGCCACATCTCTCTGCGAATGATAATGCCCGATAAGATCCTCGGAGTTCTGTTGCTGGTTTGTCCTTTATTCCAGCACTAAGCCGAGTTTCATGGACAAGAATGTGTGTCAGCACACCTGCGGCTCCCAACAGCGGCCGAGTACTCACCAAAATTAGAAATGCTAAGGATATGTTGCTTGATCGGCTCGTCACTGCGATCACCGATTCCGCAGAGTGTCAGCAACTCGCGGATCTTCTGTGCTGTCAGAATCTGGATTGCTTCTTCCATCGCTTTTGTCCGAGTCCCCTCAATTATCCCCCTGAATAGCCTTATATATGTCCAATACCCCTGTTAAGGTACAAAAGCATTCATTGTGTTAGCGTTAATGAAGCCCTAGTTTACATCCACGCTAGTCCTAAAATGGTGGTAGCTTCACGATCAACAGATCAACTAGGTTCAACACCTGATCGAAGGGTAAAAGAAAGTGAGGGTAAGCCTAAATTTGATTTTCCCACGCTAATTGTGCGATTGAGTGCATCTACCCAGTGTGGTCGTTAGCTTCTAGGATTCGACGAGCCTTTCAATGGTAAATTTTGTGCCCTCAAATTTAACCAGATAAGCACTGACTAGAGTACATCAAACCGTGTATCAAACGCATTCAGACTTCTTTTCCACGAAGCACAGAATACCCGCATCTTGAGGGCGCTAAATGTCAACGCAGTCAAGTGAATAGTAGAAGGAACCCCTACGCCCGGTTTTCAAGAGTAGTGCATAAGTCAAGGGAATAGAAGGACAGCCACCCAAACACATAGGAAGGCTTTCCAGGTACCGTCATCAAGAAGCAAAAATAAAAGCCGCTCGAGTTGTCCTTTCCGAGTACCTGAAGCGTCAACGGTTTGTTCGAATACTAATGTCTCATTCGAACTCATGACGACATCGTGCTCGGTTTCTAGGGGAATGGGAGCCGCTTATTACTCGCCCCATATGAATGAGAGTGGTAAGAATGAGCAATCGAGTGGTCAAGTCTCAAAAGGTGTTCAACCAGAATGATCAACCCCCCTAAAGTAGGTGCGGTCTTCTTGAGCGGTTGGGCCAACACGATTAACCGTTTAACCCCTTTAAATTGATTCAGCACTCTTTATTTCGCCGGAGAGACCCATATCCTTGAGACAACAGACTTGCTCTTACTCGGTTTCTAGATGTAGCCTTCCCCACTAGCCTTCCCCACTTTTCCCCCGGATCATAGAAAAGATAGAAAAGAGGGGCTGCTTCCCCTGTGCTTTTGAGCTGTTCACCAGAAGCTGAACGGAGTAGGTCAACTTACCAAACGTGTGAGGGGGGCTTTTTCTTTTCAAATGCTTACGCTTGCGAGACATTTTGACCCATATTAACTGCCAAAAATCCTAGGAAAGCCAATGAATCCACCTGTTACGGCACCAACACCATCAGGCGGACCTACCTGACGGGCAGAACTACGAGACAACGACAACCAATCAGTCCCTCAGTCACGGCTACCACGCAGTCAGCCTACAAGGCACCAAGATCAGCCAACCATGAACGACCATGTCACGTGACCATCGACATAGTGGTGATCTGAACCACAGAGCAGAGATATAATATTTCAGAGCACTGCTATGAAATATGACGAAAATCTGGGTGTACGACAACGTATGGTATGCATGAAAGATATGTATGACTCTAACTAAAATGACACGAATCCGCTCTTTTTCCAATTTTAACAACGGCTTAGTAAGGCTATCCGCAGATATTGCTACTGTCTCTATCTACTTTATATTGACTCGGCCTTAGCTGACTTGCTGTCTTATCTAGTACCTATAATATCGATATACCGGAGCTTAGTATATATCGATACACCCTCTTTTGTCAATAACTCGATAGTTTGCTAGTTGTTATATAGTATAACTAACTAGTGAGTAAACAATCTAGTTAAAACCCTAAAGAATAACTACATATCCCTCTCTATTATATATACCTACAATCATCTACCAACTATCGTTTCAATCCATTACTACTACCATGGCGAATTACCAATATACCAAGTGGAAATACCGCAATTATTAGGTTAGAGACCTTATAGCCTCTAATCCTAAAGCTAAAGATATACTAACTAGTTTATACTACTTCTTCCAGAATATCCACGTACTCAATCAAATGGGTATACAGCCTATATATAAACAACAACAGTCAGTATTATTTCAAATTGGCTTATTTCCATCCCTTATAGGGCATTTCTTATGCATTTTCATCTTATCTTTTATATAGTAATACTCATATACAGAGTACTTCACTATAGTGGTGGTTATGCAGTGGGTGGTATGTTAGTTGGTTATACAAGAAGAAAGCAGTAAAATACTAGTAATGGAGTGGTAAGAGAGAAGTTTTGGTGGTAAGGTAATGAAAGGCATAAGGCAAATATAAATTTTTGGATAATGCCTAAGGCTAGTAACCCTAGTGAGAGGTCAGGGGGGCCACCCTGGTGTGTAGTCACTTTGGACAATTGCTACATAGGACTATTCCCTTCTCGGACGTCACTTGACCGGTGGGTTCTTTCTCTGGTCTGGATCTTTCTCTTTGTGTACAGAAACCAATTAACCCCATTCGCAACGATACAGCTCAATGGCTTATTGGCAGAACAATAGCCATTGTGAATATATAAACCCGAGCTTAGTAGTCGTAAATTTCACTCCTTCTTATGCTTTTTAACATCTCTCCCCATCACTTTCATCTGACCATTAATACAGCGCTCTCTTCAATTGACACCAAAATCGACCTTGATGGCACATATGGTAGGTGTTTGCACTGTATGTACTGCCCCACCTCACCGCCGGCTACCCATAGCCACGTGATCAAACATCCGTTTTGGTCATCGGGTCTTTAGCTTCCCTTGAATCTGCTTGCTAAAGTCTTGCTTTGTCTACCAGAACCTGTTACTGGTCTATTAACCTCACTTCTAACCTCAACCGCTACCACATACCGTTTTCATCGCATCTTCCTTGTTCGTTGCGCCGATAAGATCCGAAACACCTTTATCGGGTGGCGCAAGTTCTTTTATCAGTCCTGCTGTCTTTGTGAATTTCTCACCAACCCGTCACTTTTTCCTGACTTCATAATCGCCTTCACCATGCTGCCTCAAATTACTCTGGGGACGCCTCTTGCGCAGGCAGTCGCAAATGTCATCCAGCCCAAGTTGGTGGAGATGGGTTGGAGTGATGGCCAAGAGTCACCGTTGATCGAATACATTGTTCTCATGCTGGTCAACGGGAAGACCGAAGAGCAAATCGCCACCGAGCTTTCAAATGATTTCCTTGGCCTCCAGGAAGGTGACACTGCGGCCCTCGAGTTTTCACAATGGCTTTTCACCCAAGTCGAGATGCTCAACCAACAAATCAACGGGGTTGCCCCAGCCTCGGGCAATGCGACCGTGGGACAGTTGAACCCTTCGGCAATGGAATTCGACAACTCGGCTCAAACGATTCCCAATCCGTTTGGAGCGGCCAACGGCCAGGATGCCGAAATGGGCGAGGCCGGGAATGAGTCGATGTAGGTTTTTACCATTCCTTTCTGCTAATATCTACAACGTGCTAACAGGGCTCCTCAATAGCCCCACCGGACCGAAAGCGATGCGTAACGGCAGAGGTGGCAAGGGAAGAATGTTGAACCAAATCAATCGGAACCTAGATCGTGGTTCGGACGCAGCCCTACATCGTGTACGCGGACAAGGAAACGGGCGCATTGGGCACAATGGTCGGGGTCAAATGAGAGGCGCCGGGCAGCAAGGTGGTCGCGGTGGCCGTGCCATGGGAATGCCAGGCAACCCCATGATGCAGATGACCCCCGAAAACCAAATGCAGCTTATGTCGATGTTGGAAGAACAGGCCCGGATGATGTCTCAATTCATGCCTGGCTTCATGCCACCCGCTGTTAACCCCGCTTTCCAAAATGGTGCCCAGAATGGCTCTCATGGTCGCTCGCTCTTCAATCGGGTCGAGCGAGGTGGCCAGCGCGGAGGGAAGCGCGGTTACAACAAGCCGAGAGCGACGGAAGGCGCAGATGTGGACATGGACAGCACAGCAGGCGGTGAACAGGATGAAAGCAACCCCGATAGTGTTTGTCGCTTCAACCAACGATGCACGCGCCAAGATTGCCCCTTCGCCCATCAATCACCTGCCGCACCCGAAGGGATTTCAATCGATCCTTCTGACACTTGTTCATTCGGCGCAGCTTGCAAGAACAAGAAATGTACCGGACGCCACCCTTCACCAGCAGTACGATCCGCCCACCAGGCCGAGGCCATGTGTCGGTTCTTCCCTCATTGCACCAACCCCAACTGTCAGTTCAAGCATCCGAGTATGCCAGTCTGCCGTAATGGAGCCGACTGCAAGACCGAAGGATGCAAGTTTACACATGTCGAGACCGCCTGCAAGTTCAATCCCTGCCTGAACCCCAAGTGCACCTACAAGCACGCCGAGGGTCAGCGCGGTGCTTACACTGATAAGGTGTGGACTCCGCACTCTGGAGAACATGTCAGTGAGCGCAAGTTCGTTACAGATGTGGATGGGCCGCAAGAGTTGATCAAGCCGGAGACCGAGGAGAACGCCCAGAGCCAGGAGCTGACCGCGTGACTCCGTCTGACATGACTCAATGAAGAAAATCACTGTTCAAAAAACCAAAACCCAGAAAAACAAACATCCCACAACAGTCTGCTTCCGAAGCGAAGAATACCATGTACAATTCGATCTTGACCAATGAATGAGGAATGGCTGGAGGGAAGGGCGTTGATACTTTTTATGCATTTGCTTTTGTTTCAGATACTATTACCTGTCCTGTTCATAGATTCCCCCGTTGATCTTCAAAAGAATAATAACGAAGCGAAAGACAAATTCGCGAATGTCTCATGAACATTGTCCAAACTCGTAGGATTGCTGTAGGGGGATGAGGACCTGGTGATCTCCAGGGCTTTAGAGGCTCCACGCGTAGCTTAAGTAAGGACGGAAGGTTCCGGGGACCTTCGGGTTTAGCTTGAACTCAACTACAGACCAGACCTTGCTCCGATCAGCAGATATGCGGCTACCATGTGTCCCTAAAGCACTAAGACCGAGACAAAGGCAATTGAATCTTCTCAATGGCCAGAAACGCACCTACACTGCCGCCGTGCTTGGCGGTGGCATCACCGGCCTCACAACCGCCTGGCAACTCGCACAAGACCCCACATGCCGAACAATCAACCTGTTCGAGAAAACGGACCGGCTTGGTGGTTGGATCAACTCCGAAACAGTCCCTGTCAATGGTGGGAATGTTGTGTTCGAGTATGGGCCGCGGACGTTAAGGAGCTCGCTACCAGGCTCCCTCCCTCTGCTTTATCTTGTGAGTATTGCTGGCGTGTACATACTTCCAATTGACATGGCTTAATATGCTGATCCTTTTTAAAGGCTACAAATCTAGGATTGTACAAAGACCTCATTGTTACCCCGAGCACGAGCCCCGCGGCTCAGAATCGCTACATCTACTACCCGGACCGTCTCGTTCGCATGCCGGCGCCGAAGCCAGAACTTTCTTTCGGGGAGAACCTCGATAGTTTCGTGAATACTATGAAGGAACCGGTTTTTAACAAATTGCTTTCAGGGATAGTGAAAGATGTCTTCACTCCGCCCCGGCATCCAAGTGAATGGGCGGAGGATGAGTCTGTTGCAGACTTCATCGCTCGTCGTTTTGGCCCCAATGTTGCAAATAATTTAGTTTCCGCTGTGTACCATGGAATTTATGCTGGTGATATTGATCGATTGAGTGCCCAAACACTGTTGGGTAACATCCGCAACCTTGAGGGAGGCATTGGGGGCATCGGTGGGTTGGTTTCTGGTGGAGTTACAGCATCTCTTATCTCCAGGTCGATCTCCAAAACAAAGACTCGGAATATGGATGATTTTATGGCTATAGATGTCATGCCTGCAGGTCCTGAATTAGTGCGCCATCAGCATGATTTAGAAGTCCTTGCGGCTGGAGCTACTACTTTCACCTTCAAGAGGGGGGTTTGGCAGCTTATCGAAGCACTGATCGCTTCTTTGAAAGCATCCGGCAAAGTCAACTTCCGAATGAACACGGAGATCAAAGCTTTGAGTGCATGGGAAAGTTCTAGTAGGATTGCGGTATGTGAATCATTCTGCATCACCATGCTATATCCCTGAGTTCCCTTGGCCCCGGGATTGATGCTGACTGTCAATAGATGGAATATTGGTCAGCCAGACATGGTCAAATCAAGACGTTTGATTATGGATATGTCATCTCCACTATTCCTCCAGTTGCACTTGCGGACATCATGCGCAAACCCGAGCAGTCAGAGGCCGAGCTGAGCCCTGTCGGATTGACCCCATCTCTATTACGCAAACAGGACTACGCCGTGACGGCAATGGTCGTTAATCTCTATTACCCAAATCCCAACCTTCTACCCGTGGAGGATGGCTTTGGATACCTCATACCGCGTTCGATACCCTACGAACAGAACCCAGAATGTGGACTTGGCGTCATCTTCGCCTCATCCTCTAGTGTAGGGAAGGGAACGGATCCTTCGTCATCTGAACTCAGCCAAGATTCTGCACCTGGAACGAAACTCACCGTCATGCTAGGTGGACATTACTGGGATGGCTTTGAAGAGTATCCAGACCACGACACCGCAGTGAAAATGGCCCGCGCCATGCTCAAGCGACACATGAATATCACCGATAACCCAACTGCCGCACGGAGTCGCCTCCAAAAGGATGCTATTCCCCAGTACACAGTCGGCCATCTGGATCGCATGTATACACTCTCGAACACAGTTCGCAAGGAGTACAAGAACCGGCTTATTCTCGCGGGAAACTGGTATAATGGAGTAAGTGTGGGCGACTGTGTTAAACAGGGTATCTTATCTGCCACCTACGGCATCGGAAGACACCGGCTCAATGACGAGCCTAGTCCGTGGCGTCCGTGGACCTCCTTTGATTATAGACGCTGGAAACTCGAGGGTGGCATTGTGACGTCTCCTGTTCGGCTGATTGACTCCAAAATCTGATACTACGTGACTGGATCATGTGGTTTTGCTACTTGTACTTGGGAGTGTACACAAGAGAAGGCCGAAGGCGTGTATATTAAATGTATCTTTGTAATAACAGTGTTTTTTCTTGTTGTAAGTTGCAAATCGACGGCGTTGGCCGGATATCATATAGTCAATTTCTAATGTCTAATTCACTGCTAGCCTATGGTTGGTCAACAAAAGGTTGGATTTGATCCATATGTGAAGTCTGTTGCCCTCTTCAGTTCTGATCCCACCAGGGTCAAGGGCGAGAGCACCCAGACCCCCGATTCAGGAATGGTGGATTGATGTGATAGCATCTGGAATCCCTCACAGGCGAAGCGATGGGTGGTTGGAGGCCTGGAACCGATTGGTTGCCATGTGTCCTACTATATAGGTAGTATTTCTGAGACCCAACTTCCAATCACTTATCACAATGATGTAGGATAGTCTAATGGCGCCAAACAGATGTTCCAGGGTGCTTCCAGAAAGCCCGGATGACAATAATATGCACATTGGCATATGCTCCATATACTCGACGCATGGGTATGGGATATTGAGTCTGATCCGACCCCGGGGTTGAAGTTTTAAAAAGGTTTCTCATTGCTTTCACCATTCTTTTTGTCACCATTTGAATCAAAGCCCAACACATCCAGCTGTCGGACAAGTTCCTGGATTTTGATGACTTTCTCCAACTGCTCGGGCAGTAGAGCCTCTCCCTGCTGCTTCTTGTCGCGAAGATCCCGCGCTTGGCGGAGTTTCTTCTTCAGACTGCGGGCTTTCTTCTCCTTCTCAGCTTCGACATCGACCGGCTCTTCAGTGGACTTCTCTTCCTTCCTAGGTGAAAATGTAGGTGCGGGTGTAGGTGCGGGGACACGCCAGTTGTTTGACGCAGCGCCCTTGCCCTCGGCCGTGGGACCGGCTTCGTCAGTTTCTTTCGCGTTCCGTTTGGCTTCGCGGCGTTTAGCGTTCTTGTTGCTGGCGGCAGTGGAGGCGGTGGCTGTGGGTTTCAGTGCGGCCTTGGTCTTGTCGTCTTCGCTGCTCAATGCTTCCGCACCCGGCACCCCGCCTTTCCCTCGGGTTTTCCATGCTGCCGCTGCCCGGTTCTTGTAGAGTTCAACATCCTCGGGGGGCTTGTAGCCAGGGCGCACGCGGATCTCCTTGCGCTTAGACCCGTCAGCACGGACTGAGGAGGGAATGTATCGTTCGCCGGTTTTGGCATCGGTGGTGATGCCCGACCTCGCGACGTTGGAGGCCATGGCTTGGTCTAGAGGGCCGGATTTGTGGAATGGAGAAATAAATGAAGAATGAATGATAGCAACTTGACAGAGTCAAGCTCCAAGGCAAAGATCAATATCTCTAAAGATCCAAAGTGAAAAACAACGCGAACATTGAAAGTTGAGTGCGGAAGGCCGGAGGCTCGGCCAATCAGCGGACCGGCAATTCCCGCAGATTCAGCCTTCGCAACTTCACTCTCACAACTTCAACTCTTGTTGCCCCATCCTCCTCTCGAATCCTTTAATTTAGGTCGTGTGAAAACACCCCAATCTCTCACAATGGCTGGCGTATGTCCATACTCCCTCTCCCAGTGCTCCTATTTGCACTGCTATGTCCAGCACTCACTGACCTCTCATTACAGCTCGCAAACGTTATCTACTCGCATGTCTCCCCTTCCTTGGTCCTACGATCGCGATCCAAATTGTCCAATTGAAATCTAACCGACGCACTCTTCGCTGTGTTTAGGACCTTCATCCGCAAGAACACTGTTCTCCTGACCACTGCTTTTGCCGGCGCCTTCGCTTTTGAGCTGTGGGTTACATCCAGTCTCCGAGCATGTTAGACATGCTATACACCTTAATACAGCACACTGACCATGCAATGCCAAAACAGTGCCTTTGACATCACCTCCAACAAGGTCTGGGACAGCTGGAACCAGGGCGTATGTGAACCTCTTTCCCGACTACAATACCCGAGGCTAGGACCCACGCTGACTATTTCTCTCACCTTGCAGCGCCAATGGAAGGACATTAAGCACCGTTACATGGTCAAGGAGGAGGAGGATGACGAGTAAATGCACTTGCCGAAAGTGATGTTGTGTTTATTTTACCGCGTGTAAAGGGGCATGGAAAAGCCACCGAAGCTCGCGCTTGTTCTTTCTCATCCCATATGTGGGCTTGTACGCGATAGATGGAAATCTTTATTTGGCTTTCAATCACCCTAGTCTGTAGGGTCTATGCCTTTTTACCGCCTCGTATACATCTAAAACGACCTTCAAAACGACCTTCAAAACGACCTCTAAAAAGACATCTAAAATGAACATCGAAATACACAACGGAATGTTCATTTAGATAACGTCCATAATATCATGGGCCAAATAGACCATATCATTAGTCTTACATCGTCAAGTGTAGAGGCGCCGAATACATGTATTCTCTTTCATAACTTCAATGTTCAAACAGTGGCGTGTTTTCTGTAGGTCAGGCCGGAGCGTGTGGCGTTTACTGAGAGACTGGTTCCATCGATGTCATAACGAAAAATGTTATCTTCCGATCTCTTCAAACACTTCTAATTTGATTTCTTATATTTTTTTGTGACCTTTTGGGCCTTGAGCTCCACATTCAAATTTGAATCGCGTATGACTTCACCGTATCTGTGCTGATCTGCTCGCCTGCATTGGTCCACCTTCACCCGTTGTTCTTATTTCCCCCCCACCACAAAGTACCACTGTGTGAGCAACGTGAACTACATCTGAGAACCCTATCGACTCGATCCGGACTCATTTCTTGAATTCTAACTTGAAAATTTCTTTTTCGCCTGCATACCCGCGAAGAAACCTCCTGCGTCGGACTATTACTACCTTGAGCGCATTGTCGCGACAACGGCGCTCCGTTCCATCACTCACTTGTGATAGCCCGAGCGGCGGCTACGTCAAACCGGCCACAACGACAAATCATGCTCATGCTCGGGGAATGTGAGAAGCTGCTCGGTGATGGTCTTCTCCGTTTGCCCAAGAAACACAACTTCCGTTATGGCCCCGCTGCCGAGAAGGACCTGCTAGAGCTTCTCTTCCGATCGCTTGTCGGACACAACACAGATCTAGTACAACAGCTGTTCCCAGAAGGAACTCCGGCCGGACCATGGAAATTGGCGGAGGCTCAAGGTGCCCGGGAAGGAGCTGAGTATAGTGAGGCAGCGCGGGGCAAGCGCTGCGGTCATATCTTCCGTGCCGGGGAAGCCACATACCGATGCGTGACCTGTGCCGCGGATGATACATGTGTGTTGTGTAGTCGATGCTTCGATTCCTCGGATCACACCGGACATCAATATCAGATCTCCCTTTCCTCCGGAAACTGTGGCTGCTGCGACTGTGGTGATGACGAAGCATGGCGCCTTCCGCTGTTTTGTGCAATCCATACCGATAGCGGTAATACCAAGGGCAAGGAACGAGCGCAGCGGGTATTGCCTTCTGAGCTTGTGGCCTCGATCCGCTTGACTATATCCCGTGCACTCGATTACTTTTGTGATGTCATCTCTTGCTCCCCGGAGCAACTGCGGCTACCGAAGACTGTCGAGAGCATCATGCAAGATGAGGAGGCCTCTCGTTTGCGTCCAGACTGGTATGGCGCCGGCGATGAAGAGGAAGAAGACCCAGAATTTGTGGTCATGCTATGGAATGACGAGAAGCATACAATTCGCGATGTCTCTCATCAGGTCACTCGTGCTTGCCGTGAACGAGATAGTTTTGGCATTGCGCGGGCTCATGAAACAAACGATATGGGCCGCAGTGCAATCAAATATTCGAGGGATCTAAATAGACTCTTAGGTGTTTCGAAGGTGATTGAGGAGATCAAGGTTACCGTCACCGTGCGCTCTGCGCGCGATACTTTCCGCGAGCAAATGTGCACCACGATAGTGGAGTGGTTGGCTGATATTGCCGGCTGTGAAATCCTCGAGGACAATGAAATTTTTAGGCAAATCATCTGTGAAGAAATGCTTACGCCCTGGAAAAAGGGCAGCGGGGCATATAACGAAGATATCGGCATGAGGGGCATTGATGATCATCAGCGGACTGAGAACCTTCCAGGTCGCACACTTATGATTAATTTGCCTAATCATGGCCAGGTCATCCTGACCACCGATGATGACGAAGACGATTTGCTTGAAGACGATGCCATAGATGAAGATGAAGACGAAGACTATGTCGAAGCCCACGACGCTGATGATGAAGACGACGATGAAATGGACATCGAACTCTCTCGTGATCAGGAAGAAGACGAAGATATGATCCTGGCGGGTGCAGATGAGGAACTTGCTCTCGCAGAGCGCATTCTCCACGGACTTACTGGCACCCAGCCGCCACCTCGACCGGCACAGGCTCAAACCACAGATCGGCCCTCTGCTGAACGAGGCCCGTCTGAATCTCAAAGCCCTGGCCCTGAATCCGGCCCTACCGAATATATCCATATCCCCAAGACTCCTGGTTCGCACCGGCCAAGGCCTTCGAACACAGAAAGTCATTGGCAAGTCCGACCGAGCATTCCCGCTCCAGGTGAAAAAGTACCTCCATATGAAGACCTCTGGCAGCGTACTCGCTTAGACTGGCTGGTACTTTATGACCTGAGGTTGTGGAAGAAGACACGAACCGACTTGCGTGATCTCTACATCAGCACTGTTGTCAATGTTCCTCAGTTCAAGCGCATTATGGGTCTTCGTTTGTCTGCATTGTACACAGCTCTGGCTCAACTGTATCTCATCGCGGATCGAGAGCCGGATCACTCCATTGTCAACCTTTCATTGCAGCTTCTCACGACTCCCTCTATCACTGAGGAGATTGTCGTGCGAGGTAACTTCCTCACGAAGGTGATGTCTATCCTCTATACCTTCTTGACTACGAGACAAGTTGGCGAACCACAATCTGTCAACCCCAATGCCACGCTGGCGTTTGATGCTGGCTCGGTTACAAATAGGCGTCTCTACCACTTCTTCCTTGACCTCCGATACCTTCTCCAATCCGAATATGTCCAGCACCGTGTGCGGACCGAGGAACAATATCTTCCTCAATTCCTCGATCTCGTCAAGCTGTCACAGGGTATTTGCCCCAATGTCCGCGCTGTTGGTGAACATGTTGAATACGAAACGGACGCTTGGATCAGTGCGTCAATTCTCATGCGGGAGATCAACCGACTTTGCCGCCAATTCTGCGAGTCTTTCCGCAACCCTGAAATAGACAACGGTGACAACCTTCTGAGGGCAATCGAGACCACCGCTACTACTGCGATTCTCCATTCAGCTGGCGTAGAACGCAAGAGATTTGACCAAGCAGAAATAAAGGATGAAGTAAGATTCAAGCTGCTGCCACCTTTCGATTTTGAGGTCGGCGCCTCTGGCCAAGTCCCCTGCCATCGGGTGGTTGAATTCGTGGTCGAACGTGGATCTATCAGTTTCCACCACGCCCTTCACTACACATTGTCATGGCTTGTTGAATGCGGACGAGACATAAGCAGCGATACTATGCGTGACGTTCTCTTTGACGCTGCCAATGTGGCGAGGAGTGAGATCCATGCCGCCAAGGCTGCCAACCCTAGTAGCATTGATGATACTCTGCTTGCCCTTGGACCGGAGGACTTGCTTCTGGCCATGTTTGACTATCCACTGCGGGTTTGTGCTTGGCTAGCGCAAATGAAGGCGGGGATGTGGGTTCGCAATGGTCTTAGTCTTCGGCATCAAATGTCGCAGTACCGTGGAGTCTCTTCTCGTGACTTTGCCTACTACAGAGATATCTTCCTTCTCCAGACTGCCCTAGTTACTTGTGATCCTAGCAGAGTTCTTGCTTCCATTGCACACCGCTTTGGCATGGTTGAATGGATGGCTCGGAACTACATGCCCCGTCCTGGGTACGAAGATACCCAGATTGTGGATGTGGCAGAGGAATTTGTGCATCTACTGGTAATCCTCCTGACGGACCGAACATCTTTGACCGCCATCGATGACAGCACTCACCTCACTCACGAAAACATCAAACGTGACATCGCCCACGTATTGTGCTTCAAGCCGCTGTCTTTCTCCGACCTCTCGACCCGCCTTAGCGACAAGCTTCTGGACTCGGACATGTTCCAAGATGTGTTGGAAGATGTCGCCAACTTCCGCCCTCCCGAGGGCTTGAGTGACTCTGGTACCTTCGAGTTGAAGCCCGAACATCTCGACCTTATTGATCCATACAGCGCACATTATACAAAGAACCAAAGAGACGAAGCAGAGA